CTATTCTATTCTATTCTATTCTATTCTATTCTATTCTATTCTATTCTTATTGTACCCTATGACTATCATTAAGTGTTGTCCCTGATGATTCTTAACGAATATATCTTTTCTTTTATCTACACTGAGAGCATTTGCACCAAGACAAATTCCTTGGGTGTCCAATCACACTTGGCCAATAAGGAATTCAATTCTGTTCTGTTCTGTTCTGTTCTGTTCTGTTCTGTTCTATTCTATTCTATTCTATTCTATTCTATTCTATTCTATTCTATTCTATTCTATTCTATTCTATTCTATTCTATTTCTATTCCTATTCATTCCACTGGCCAATAAAGAATTCATTCATCCATCCATCCATCCATTCATTACGACAGAGGTCCAGCCCAACATTCAACAGGTCATTTAAAAATAGGGAGTGAGCACAGCGCTGGCCGAGTTTATCTACTACATTAAGGCCTGGTTGATTCAAGTCCCATTAAACCCTGATCAGTTAAATAAGCCATACTGTTGACTCGATTCTTACGAATCATTAAACTGGGGCCAAGAGGCATGGGATGCATTTTGCACAGCGCGTCCCACTGGCCCTCTCGGTCAACAGCCTCAATTGCACAATTCTTCACACCGAGCGGCTCCCCTGGTGGTACCGGGCCGACCCAGGTCCTGCCTGCTGTGTGCTGCACGGTGGATAAAGCCCATGATTGAGTTAAAGACCTTGTGCTTGTTCAAACCCTCTCGGGCCAAATTGGGGGGCGAGTGCAGAGCACAGACTTGGGCAAACCCACTGATTGACATTTCAAATTCAGAACAGAGACGGAAGGGACCTTGGAGGTCTTCTAGTCCTACCCCCTGCTTAAGCAGGAGACCCTATACCTGAGATGGAGAACCTATGGCGTGCGTGCCAGAGGTGGCACCCAGAGCCCTCTCTGTGGACACGTAAACCGTTGCCCCAGCTCAGCTCCGCCACGCACCTCCCACTAGCCAGCTGGTCTTTGGGTCTCTGCCATGCATGCGTGGGGCAGGGTGCATGAGGGAGGCGGCAGGGCGCATGTACGTCGGGTGGGGCGCATGCACAGGGATGCACACGCATGCACAGGGGATGCATGTGCATTGCATTTTGCGGGGTTTGTGCAAGGGTGAGATTCTACTAGTTCGCACCTATTTGCTAGAACCAGTTGTTAACATTCTAAGCAGTTCGGCAAACCGATTGTTAGAGGAAATTCCTGGGCTAATCCCGTAAGGAAGGCAGGAAGGAAACATTCTGGTGTTGCTTACAGAAACTGCCTCTCCGTTAACCCTTATTACATTCTTGGCAGGACTAGACTTCCTGTCTCAGGAACTTCTCTGGAGTTATTTTTCCCCCTCCTTTGCTGGTACTTTGCTTGTGTGGAGTGACCATTCAAAGTTACAACGGCACTGAAAAAAAGTGACTTATGACCATTTTCCACACTTACGACTGTTGCAGCATCCCCACAGTCATGAGAGGCCAGGCAAGGAGATGCGTGCCTCATTGTGAGTGATATTGAGTGGGCCACACCTACCCAGTCACATGACCACCAAGCCACGCCCACCAACTAAGCCACACCCAGAGAACCGGTTGTTAAAAAATTTGAATCCCACCCCTCCTTTGGGCCCTCAGTGCCAAAAAGGTGAGCCATATACAATTTGAGACAAGTGGCTGTCCAGTCTCTTCTTAAAAAACCCCAGTGAGGGATCTCCTACAACTTCTTGTGGCAAGCTGTTCCATTGCTGAATTGTCCTCGCTGAGAAGCCTTCTCAATACACGTAGTCCTTGGCTTATGACCACAGTCAGGACCAGAATGTTTCGTTTGGTAACCAAGACAGTTGTTGAACTGGTCCTAGTGGTGGCCTAGTGGCGAAGATGCTCGCCTCCCACTCCCAAGGCTGAGAGTTCAATCCTGAGGAGGAGCCGATAATTTATCTCCAATGGCACAAAGAGAAAATATCTGCTGCCAACTCCACATAGGCATCAGGAAGGGCATCCAGCCAGCAAACGCTCAACTCCATCCAGTCGCCCTGACTCTACCACAAGATTAAGGGATTAGAGTGTCGTGAAAAGGACGTTGTTTTAAAGCAAGGCAGTTGTTTTAAGCGGGTTGCCCCCAATTTTACAACCTCTTTTGCCACGGTTGTTAAGTGAGTCACTGAAGTTCAGTGCATTAGTCGTTAAGTGTTAAATGGCAATCATAAGAACCTGAGACACTGCAACTGTCATAAATCCATGCTTGGTTGCCCGGCTCCTGGATTTTGATCATGGGACCATGGTGAAGTCCCAGTCGTCATAAATGTGAGGAACGGTTTAGGTCACTTTTTTCAGTGCCACAGTTGCTAAACGAATGGTCGTATGTTGAGGACTAGCTTTATTTATGAGCCACGGTGGCGCAGTGGTTAGAATGCTCCTTCTGCTGACTGCCGGCTGCCTGCAATTTGGCAGTTCGAATCCCACCAGGCTCAAGTTTGACTCAGCCTTCTGTCCTTCCGAGGTGGGTAAATTGAGGACCCAAATTGTTGGGGGGCAAAAGGCCGACTCTGTAAACCGCTTAGAGAGGGCTGGAAAGCATTGTGCAGCAGTAGATAAGTCTAAGTGCTATTGCTCTTCCTTCCTCCCTTCTTTTTCCTCCCTCCTTTCCTTCATCCTTTTTCCTTCCTTCTGTCCTCCCTCCATTCCTTCTCCTTCTCTCCTTTTCTCCCTCCCTCTCTCCTTCCTTTCTTCCCTTCATTCCTCCCTCCCTCCCTCATCCTTCTGTCCTTCCAAGGTGGTTAAAATGAGGACCCAGATTGTTGAGGACAAGAGGCTGACTCTGTAACCTGCTTAGAGGGGGCTGTGAAAGCACTATAAAGCGGTATATAAGTCTAAGTGCTATTGCTCTTCCTTCTTCTCTTCCTCCTTCCTTTCCT